CAGAGCCCAGCAGGTTGAGGCTGAGGTGGCCAGGAGCGGCCACTGCACTCCAGTCTGGGCAACAGAGTGAGACTCCAACTCAAAAAAAACTAAAAAAAATAAAAATAAAAAATAAAAAAAAAATAAAATGGATAATTGATAAGTTATATTACTTCCATAGGCAAAGCAATTCTTAAAAGCATACCAAATGAGAAATACTTGAAGGAGATGTTGATTTCTGCACTATTGAGGGGGAGGAGTCATGATATCTGTCTTTCAATATTCAAAGCATTTTCATGAGCAAGAGGGATTAGATCCACTCTTTGTTCATGATTTACTATGTTAATTTGTTCTCAATTCCTACAAGTGTTAAAAGAGTGACAGTTGTACAATTACTTCTCCTGCAGGAGGGTTGGCTTAAAAGCCCAGCAAGTGTCTTTGTAGATTTCTAAGATTAATGTACCATATCTCATTAAATGTTAGTACAGAAACTTAATTTGGTTTAGTTTTGTATTTATTCTCTGTGTGTGTGTATGTGTGTGTAGAAATCATTACTTTCATAGATTGCCTCATGAAAATAAATGAACATTTGGGGAATGCTGCTACACTTCTAAAGAAAGAAGAAAAGAAGATGTGTAATTTATGCAGCATGCATGATGAATGTACTCCACAGCGGACATGTCCACCATTCATGATACCAAAGCACAGACATTGCTGCAGAGGGGAACAAAATGTCATAGAAACAGCCACTGTTTCTCCCACAAATGGAGATGAAAGTCATTACACAAACCAGGTCCAGTTAAAAATAAATAAAATACATGTGAGTTCAGCATTAGTGGAAAAAGAAAGCAATACATCATTGAATGGAAATGTAAGGGGGCAAGAAGAGTCAGAGAACAAAATGTTCCCAGATAACATGGAAAATGAAGACGATAAACAGATAGAACACACGACTGTTGAGAACATAAACAGCAACAGGGAAGAGATTCATGATGTAATCCAGACAACAGAGAGAGGAATTCAGGAGACCTCAGAAAGCCAAAGAGAAGAGATGACCACATCCTCAATTGCATGTGATATCATTGATAACTATTTGAATAGTCTTCTTCCCAATATTTCAGAGCATATAAAGCAAAAGAGTAACATAATGGAAAAGAAGTAAGTAAATGCAATGTGAAAAGTACTTACGTAAGCCTACTTACATGTGTGTTTCTGTAGTTAGTACATGTCTTAGTCCATTCGGGTTTCTATAAAAAAATACCATAAACTTGGTAGCTCTTAAACAACAGATCTTTATTTCCCACAGTTCTGGAGGCTGGGTAATCCAAGATCTAGGTACTAGCACATTTGGTGCCTGGTAAGGGCTTTCTGGTCATAGGTAATGCCTTCCGTGCTGTTTTCTCGTATGGTAGAAGGAGTGAATAAGCTCCCTAGGGCTTATTTTATAAAGGCATTAGTCCTATTCGTGGGAACTCTGTCCTCTTGGCCTAATTACCTTTCAAAAAGCCCCACATCCTAATATCATCACCTTAGGGGTTAGGATTTCAACATAAGCATTTGGGGTGACACAAACATTCAGATTGTAGCAATATATAGTACTTATACATGAATAAAGTACTATTTGTATTTATTTCCATGTCAAACCTCCAAAAGACATTTTAAATCAATAATTTAGTTTAAATTACTCCTAAAATATGTATATGGGCACTATTGTTAATGTTGTTTATTTCATTTAGCTTTAGGAGGAAAACATATTGCATGTTTTTCTAAAGGAGGAAGAAATTGAGTAGATAAGAAAGTAGCAAAATGGACAAATGTCCAGAACATGAATACTATCCTAAATGATCAGTACATTTTCTTCTTTTTTAGTAGGAGTCTCACTCTGTTGCTCAGACTGGAGTGCAGTGGCATGCTCACAATAACTGCAACCTTGACCTACTAGGTTCAGGCGATCCTTCTGCCTCAACCTTCCAAGTAGCTGGAACCACAGGCATGCACCACCACACCCACCTAATTATTTGATTTATTGTGGAGACGAGATCTTGCCAAGTTGTCCAGGCTGGTCTCAAACCCCTGGACTCAGGCAATCCTCTTACCTCCGCTTCACTATGTGCTGGGTTTACAGGCATGAGTCACCGTGCCTGGCAAGTACATTTTAAAGTATAATTAAACAAACAAACAAACAAGCTAGGAGACTGCAAAGTGTTAAATACTTAGGGGAGAATTTTTTAGCCTTAGATTTACTTCATTTACATTCTCAACCTGTGCCTGTAGAACTCCAGGGAGCTCTTGGATGATCTTAGGAAAGGTCTTAAAATTGCATATGTATGTTCATACTTATTTTATCTCCTTGGAGATGGTCCAGAGCTGTCATCAGATTCTCTAAGAGCTCATGACTTCCAAAAATGAGAGAGACTATTTTATAAAGTATAACTCCTATACAAGAGGGCAACAATTTCCTCTTTGTCCAAATAAAATAAAATATTCCACGGACCATATTTTCCCAGGCAAACATAACATCCTTAGGAGGCAATGGGGAATAGTGAACAAATGTATTTGTTTTGGAAGACAGATAGACTTAAGATTTTTGTTTGTTTGTTTTATTACCTACTAGTTCTGTGACCCTGGGCAACTTGTTCCATTTCTTAGCCTCATTTTCTTGTTTGTAGAAATAATGTATACTTCCTAGGATTATTTAGTAAGGTAAAATGAGAAAATCATATAAAGGTTCTGGCACTGGGCTTTGTTGACACTCAGGTCTGTTTATTTCACCCCCAGCAGTCCTGGATCTCTCCAATCCCTGCTCACTACCATCCTTCGATTACTGCCCTCTCTGTCCTGATGTGTTGATGTTGATGTTCTTTAAGGTGTATGATGCCATTTCCAATGTAGTGATCTTAGGCAAGCCATTTTGCTCACTTTGACCTTAGTTATCTCATCTATAAAAGAGGTTGATATAGTTTATCTGTGATGTTCCCACAGGTCAGAGAATCTAATGAATTCTGAGGTTGAGTATATCCAATGCATGAAAATCCTCCATGGTTTGTAATGACTACTGCTCCTGCAGAGCAACAACTAAAATAGTCAACCTGTTTCACTTGAGAAAAACATTGGCACTTCATATTCTCACATCCAGAAATGACTCAAAGCATCGGTTAATGAGTCACTGTCTGAACCACTCCCTCTAACACCTCCTTTAGGTGTTCCCTGCTTTGTGATTTCCTCTTCTTGGCAACAAAACCAATTGTGCTTGGCTTGCATATTTGAGAGTATGACTACTCATGACAATCCCTCAGCCTAGGAAGCCATCATGCCACATCAAAGATGTGTGATAAATAAAACTGTGCTCAGAGTCTGTTATGAATCTCCCTGGTTGGCTTCTAAAAGAAGCTTATCTCTTCTAGTGTAGCTGTTCTGGTATATACATGAGGTGAAAACAAGACTAGAATAAACCAATGAGATTACAGTCATGTGTCTCTTAACAATGGTAATATACTCTGAGAAATGCATTCTTAGGTGATTTGCTGTTGTGCAGATATAGTAGAGTGTACTGACACAAACCTAGATGTCACATCCTACTATACACCTAGTCTCTGTGATGTAACCTATTGCTCCTAGTCTACAAACCTGCACAGTATGTTATTGTACTGATTACTATAGGTAATCGCAACACAGTGATAAGTATTATTGTATCTATACTGATCTAAACATTAAAAAGGTACAGTAAAAATGGAATATTATAATCTTATGGGACCATTGTCATATAAACGGTTAGTCTTTGTTGGTTGTAGATCAATATTGTCATTGTAGACCGGTAAGTCTTTATGTAGCACATGATATAAAATATATGTATTTTAGTGGCTTATCTAATCTATTTGATTAGAGCTAGAGGGATCGGAAGACTACAGGTCTCCTCACCCTATTTCATCTGTCTGTTGGGAAACATACTTTCTGGAAGAAGAGTGTACTGAGATGGCTTCCAAGGCACTGAGGAGAGACATTCCTGAAGTTATGCAATGCTGGGTCACTGTATCCTCTATTAAACAATGTTTTTCATTTTCTGAATTATCATTATCACCATCAGCAGAGAATACTCAAGCAGACTCATGTGCTGAGTAATTTTCTGTTCCTTCTAACTTTCTGAGTCCAGATCGTAAAAGTAAATAAATGACACTCTCTGTGATTTCAACACATTTTTAGATTCCTGTGCTAAAATGTACTTTGAAATTCTATTTATCAGTAATTGAAAAACATGTAAATTTTTTTATTACCTGATTATTTCTAGACCTGGACATTAATTCTATGTTATGTTTAGATCCTCTTAGGTCTCTTCAACGTTGCCTATATTTCAGGGATTTCACAGATATGAATGAGAAGTAGCAAGAAGAGGAGAAACTCAAGTTGGTCATTTTAATGCAGAGATCTAACATTCATTGAACACCTATCTTATGCCAACTCATCATTTTAAAAACTTTAAATGTTTCATCCCATTCAGTTTTCACACCATTATGGTTAGAGATTAGTTTCAATCTGTAGTGCATAAAGTAATCAGTACTTTCAAATGGTTAGTGGAAGTATGATAATATATTAAAGAGTTTGGGCTTTCACATTAAAAAGAGACAAAACCAATTATTGATTGTAAAACTTACCACCTATGGAATCTTTGAAAGCAAGTTAAGTTTTCTAAGCCTCAATTTTCTTATCTGTAAAATGACTGTTTTAGAAGTACATACCTGATACAATTGTGAGGATTAAATAAAATAATGTGTAGCTTAAAGCCTAGTCCATAGGAAGCACTAATATGAGCTATTTTAATAATAGTGTTTTTTTTGTTGTTGCTGTTTTGGTTTTTTTTTTGAGTTGGAGTCTCACTCTGTCACCCAGACTGGAGTGCAGTGGCCGCTCCCGGCCACCACAGCCTCTACCTGCTGGGCTCTGGTGATTCTTCCAACTCAGCCTTCCAGTAGCTGGAACTACAGGCATGCGCTACCATGCCCAGCTAATTTTTTGATTTATTGTAGAGATGAGGTCTCGCCAAGTTGCCCAGGCAGGTCTCGAACCCGCGGGCTCAGGCAATCCACTCACCTCAGCCTCCCAAAGGCGGGGGATTACAGGCTGAGCCACTGAGCCCGGCTAATAATAGTTATTAATGCGTAAGGTCAAACAAATAGCAAGTGATTGATCTCAAATTTGAATTTAAATCTATAAGACTCTAAAATTTTTAGTAAAAATAATGGTCAATGGGAGGCTGAGGTGATAGAGTGAGACTCCAACTCAAAAAAAAAAAAAAAAAATGATGGTCAAAAAAACAAGAGAAGGCCGGGTTTGGTGGCTCAGCCTGTAATCAATCCCAAGCTTTGGGAGGCTGAGGTGAGTGAACTGCAAAAACAAATAAACAAAACAACAACAACAACAAAAAAAACAAGAGTAAAATGAATGGCCAAAATACGATTTTGGATTAATCATTTGATGATTATAAGTAATCCTAATTACTATGATTAATGATAAATTCTCAGTTCTTTTGTACCTTTCTTGACTTTAAAAAATGATCACCATAAAAAATGATCTAGTGTATACTTTGATTTAGACAATTTCAAAACCTCATATATGTGTACTACTTCTCACAACTGAGAAATCTATTGATGTGTTAGTACTGGGTTTATCAGGAAGCTCTAGCATTCTTCAGATGTTTTTTGTGGAGTGAACAAAACTGAGGAGTGAATCAACTACTTAAGTAATAATGGTTATAACAATAGTAACAACAGTAATTATAGCTAACATATATAACACTTATTGCGTACCAGACATAGCTTTAAGTACTCAATGTATAATTGTTTATTTAATTCATACGACTTTCCTATAAGATGAGTATTATGCTATCACTATTTTATAGTCGAGGTACAGACACACAGAGAGGTTGAGTATCTTGCCTGAGGTCACAAGGTCAATAAATGGAAAACTGGAACTCACAACAAGACAATGTATCTTCAGAGTTTGTGCCCTTCTGCATTTAGCTTTGAAGAGCATAAATTAAATAATTGGAAAAATGACACTGTTTTTCTCCCCTGCAGGTATCTTGATGTTCTGAGTGATGATACTGACCCTCAAGTATCTTGCTATATTACAGCACCATTGTATGTTCTGCAACAACTAGAATGCCGGATAATTAATGACATGAGTTCTTTAATAGTGAGTGATAATGAAGAGTTGGTCAGCAATGTCATCACTGTTGAATGCACAGATAGGGGAAAAGGAATTCCATTTCCAATAGGCATTGCAATTCCGTTTAATGCATGTTACAGGGGAAATTACAGAGACATCATGGTGAAAGTGTGTGATGCAAACCTTCAATCAAGTTACCTAAACCCCAGTTCACTGGAAGGAATGAGGGGAGGTTATAAGGTTGGTAAATCCTGGGCTATATCTTCATTCACTTTGTGGCTCCTCTTCTAAACATAACTTAGACTAACACGTTGTAGTATAATATAATTGCCCCATTGGCAACATGGAAGAGTTGATAGATTTGTGTCAGGGCATTTGCACTTTGTTGTTATCCATAATGTTCAAAGAGCAGAAATGATTGGCCAAAGTTAGAAATGGAGACTTGGGTGTAGGAACCAGTAAATATTATTTTTTTTCACCTAGGAAAGAAAACCAACAACATGGCTTAATTACTTTACACTTTGGACTAACTTTAGACCATTATTTCTAACATGTTGGACCCCTGTCTAAATATGAGAATGTTAAAATCCCCAAATGATAGTAGCTTTACTTTTTCATCATTCATAGGTTATTAACATATATTTAAAAATTATATGTATGTGTATCCCTTGATATAGTTATAAGTCTATAAATGAAATTTAGAGTATGTGATAGTTAGGGTGTTAGCTGTGGAGGAACACTGGCTAGGTTTGAAATCTGGTTTCTATACTTTCTTGCTTTGTGAACTTGGGTAACCTTGCTGTTACTCAATTTCTTCATGTTCAAAATGAGCATGATAATAGCGTCTACCTGATAGGGTTGTATGAATTAAGTAGACAATGCACTTAAAAAGATAAAAGGATGCCTATAAGCATATGTTAACTGTTCACAAATTTTCATTTTCAAGGTAGATTTTACTATAATAACTTTGAAGTCCTTTATCGTCATAAATTCATATGCTATAAAGAGAGAATATAACAATTATTAAATTTAGTATAGAGTTAATGGGGACTAATATTTAAGGTTCTTCTGTGGGCCACTGAGCTTATTTTTAAGCAGTTGAAATATTTATCATTTTCAACTTTATGTAAGTTGTCCTTATTTGATGAAAAAGGCAGGAAATAAATGTAAAAAAAACACTTTGTACATATAAGGAATTCTTTATAATATATCTCTTTCTTTTTTGATTTTGGTCTTATTTAAGTTTTAAACAAAGTTATATAATTGAATATGAAAGCTAAGCCTATTCTAATTACTTGTTCCAATTCATGCAACCAATGCATTTTATATTTAGCCTCAAAAACCTACTTCTAGGTATGAGTCTGGTCAGCATTGCCCTTCAGGGGACTTTTAAATCTTAGCCAGTCTGTGTGACTGTCACAATAAAGTAAAAATTGCTCATAGCACACATATTCTTCATAAAGTGGGGTTGAAAGATGTTTAGCAAATGGATAATCAAAGCAAAAGAAAAAAATAAGAGAATCATTGTCTATTGTGAAAAATAAAGGCATACACTTTTCTCTTCATAGTACCATTCTAATGGTTATTCCTAATATTAGCTCAAGAAAATGTAAACTGTTGATTACTTCCCAGTTTTTACGTGTATTTTATTGTGTATTGATTGTATTTTAAATTTTTAATTCTTTATAGATCCTTTCAGTTCTTTAGTGTCTTCCAATTGTGCGCTAAATGCATGACAATTATTTGTTTCTAGAGGGCTTTCTTTCTTATCTCTCATATTTTTTTCTCTGGCCAGTTAAGAATATTCATGCCCCGAATTTTCCCAAGGATGGATTCATGCAGTGATATTGTGAAATCTCTTCCTTAGTCAGCTCTCAAATGATAGCTTATTTTCCATTGTGATTGTCTCAGAAATGTTTGTGTGTGTGTGTGTGTGTGTGTGTGTGTGTGTGTGTACAATTAGCCACTCATGCTGGGGCGGAGCCCGACTGCTGTTTGGGGAAGTATGAATAGACCAAATTACTTCTAAGTCTGCCTCCTCCTTTTAAGCTTTAGTGATTATATGAGTAGATCATTTTGTTTTCATTTATGTACTCAGTTTCTTTTTGTGCAATAAAAAACTTGAATATGCGCCTGCATATACGCATTACAAGTTTGAATGTCCCTATATAAAAAAGAAACACAAATGTGTCTCTGCATTTATCTTACTCTCTCTGCACAGAGGAGAGAAACAGAGAAAATGACTTTATATTGGGAAACTATCTGTCAGAAGAAAGAATTTTCTGACAGTACAGTTGCTATAGCATTTGAGTAAACTACTCAAATAAAATTCTAGTCCTTGGAACTCCCTAAAGCAATATAGAATGTTCGAAGAAAGGTCAATATTTAAAATCCATTCTAGCTAAAGGAGGCTAGGAATTTAGAAACAATTAATATTTGTGAAAACACTGATATAATTGCCCAATATACACTTTTTGAGGGAGGGATTTAGTTTAAAAATTAAAATACATTTATTTCTCTGTTTTCTATCTTATAGTGCAAATTTGAGAAAATCTTAATTATCTACTTTCATCTCATGAAAGCACTATCCATTTTAGATTAATGAAACCATTCCAAATTGTAGGTAATTACACAAAGAGTGTATAGATATTTTTCACAGTCCACAGAATCTATACAGTGTGTACTTTTCAAAACAGTGTGGTAGCTTGTCTTAATGTCTTCTAATCCATACAGGGGACCTGCGCTGCAGTGAAAGCTTACAGGTTAGGCATCTTTTCTGTTGTGTCTTGTTTAAAGAAAGAGTCCTTCACGGTAACAAAGAAAGGCGTCACTCTTAAGTCAAGTGTGGATTCCCGAATATCTTTAAATTACCCTCCAGGGATTTTCAGCTCACCAGTGCTTGTACAATTAAAGGTAAATATTAAAAATTGGTGAATTCCTTCTCACAGATTTTGATGGTCATCAAGCATGGTCCTCAAGAATAAAGAGGATACCAATACTTAATATTACAATAGATTCTTCTCTTGTACTTATAATGGTCTAACATGTAGTGATATCATGATACTGTGATGATTGTGAGCATATTAACTCTTATTCTAAAATAAATTCCTCCTTCTTTTATGTTGTTTTGTTTATGATATTTATTGACAAAAACATGTTGAGTATCTACGAAATAATTGATCGACAGACTTTAGTTTATTGTAATAATGCAGGATTTTTGTCTAAGAGTGTGGCAAAAAAGAAGTGAGTCAATTAAAATATTTATTGTTATGAATATTTTGGGAAAATGATTTAATATATGCAAACAATATTTTAAAATATATAACATATATCTTATGTAATAATATATAATATATTATAATATTATATAATAATATATCAATGTACATTTTAGAAGATTTATTTTCTAAAATAATATTCCCTGTTCTTCTAGCCTCCACTCTCTCCTACTCTCTTCTCTCTATTTCTCTCAATTGTTACCATAAATTGAAATTGAGGAAGAAAACATACAATAAATATTTTATTTATAAATACTTTCCATAAACTTACAAATTTTGTAATTATATTAGCTATTTTTTATTCCTAACTATTCTTATATGAGAGGAAATACTTAAGCAAAAATAGTCTTGTTTTTCTAGTTTCTAAAGATCACTTGATCTAACAATAGTTCTAACTAGAAATTATATAAAATATCAATTTTGTTTTTAGGCTATTTTGTTGCCTACAATTAAGAGTGTTTCTCGGCTATTTAAATTTAAGAAAGAGAATCCAGATTTCAGAAATACTTTATAAAAAGGGGCCCGATACTATATTCTTTTATAAATTATAAATATTCTCTAAAATGATTCCAGCTAACAATTCATAGAGAAATGTACAAACCTACACTCTGTTATATAGAGAAATATATAAAACTACACTGTAAAATTTTCAGAAAATTGGATTATAATGTTTGCGTCTTTTGCTACTAAAATATTTTCTTTGTTTAGATCCAACCAGTTGACCCATCTCTCGTGGCATATTTAAAAGCACAGCAAGATACTTCGTACTCAGTAGTATCCACAAGTCCTCTGATTCACATTCAGCACCCATCATCTCATTCTTTTCAGAAGCCAGTTACTGTATTCCTACCTTGTTCTCCACACCCTGATCAAAAGAATCTTGTATCTGAGATAGATCATAAAAGAACAGCCAGTGCCACAACAAATAAGACCATACTTTCATATTTCAACCAGTGAGTATGATCGTAATATTCCTAATTGACTAGATGGTAAACAAACAAAAAAACCTTTGATGATTAAAAATTACAATCAAATGTCTTGCATGTATATATTAGTATTAAGATATTATGACATTCTTGAACCTAGAAATAAAATACTATAGATCCACAAAAGGTAATAATTTTAGTTGCGAAGGGCTCCAAAATGCTATGCATTTGCAGTAAGATTGATATGAAAGAAGTAAAATTAATCTTTCTTCTCAAAGAACTTATTATATGACTAATTACAAAGTTGTGATGTGATGGTTTTAATTTTTATATTTAAAAGTGTTCTCTTTGGCTGGGAATGGTGGCTCATAACTGTAATACCAGCACTTTGGGAGGCCAAGGTGAGAGGATTGCTCGATGCCAGCCATTTGGACCAGCCTGAGCAACATAGAGAGACTGTCTCAATTAAAGAGAGAGAGAGAGAGAGAGAGAGAGAGAGAGAGAGACGAGCACTTCTACCTCTGCATTAAAAAAAGGGGTGTGGGATTCTGTTAATGTAGAAAAAAAGCTAACTTGACCTTTTACAAAGCAAATTAAATTTGAATTTTTATTTGCTGTATCGGGGATTCGTCTTCCCAATTGTTATAAGTAAACAAACTCTGTACCAATAAGATAAATACATATTAAGTTACCAGCCAGAAATAAAATCAGAAATAAAATACTAACCACAGAGTACACTGAATTCTAGGAATCCTGATCTTAATTCCTATCCTTTAATTTTTTTTTTTTTTTGAGTTGGAATCTCACTCTGTCGCCCAGACTGGAGTGCAGTGGCCGCTCCCGGCCACCGCAGCCTCCATCTGCTGGGCTCCGGCGATCCTTCCTCCTCAGCCTTCCAAGTAGCCGGAATTACAGGCATGTGCTACCACGCCCAGCTGATTTTTTGATTTATTGTAGAGATGAGGTCTTGCTGTTCAGGTCGGTCTTGAACCCACGGGCTCAGGCAATCCACTTACCTCAGCCTCCCAAAGGCGCGGGATTACAGGCTGAGCCACCGAGCCCGGCTTTATCCTTTAATTTAATACTTATTTTATTTTCCTGATAGAAAAGGTAGAAGGTAACTTTCTATTCTTTAGTTCTGAAGAAATTTTTTTCTTTGAAAAATCAAAAAGAGAGAAAAACAACTTCAAACAATTACTTGAAATAATAACTACTATTATTTGAGAAGATACTATGTACCAGGTTTATTATGAATATTATCTCATCCAATCTCATTGGGGAAAACTTAAACTCAGTGACATTCAGAACTTGTATAAGTACCTATAGCTAACGAGTGGTGCAGCCATGGTCTAGACTCACACATCTCTGTCTGATAATGACTCCACACAGACATCATTTCTTTGGGTTGAGGCTATACAGCTAGAAACTGAGACATGGATTATTTCCGCTTTCATAATATGTTTGCAGTTTAGAAAGAGTGCAATTGTAGAATGTTTGATTTGTGGCTGGGATAAGAAATCAAGCTTTCCCTTGTGTTAGACAAGTGAGAGAGAACACAGAAATACAGACATGACTCAGTTATATATACTTATGCTTCCAAAATTATACATAAATGCACACACACACACACACACAGAGTCAGGCACGACTTAACTACATGTATACATTCTGAGAAATGTATTGTTAGGTGATTTTGTCATTGGGCAAACATCAGAAGGTACTTGCACAAACCTAGGTGGTATAGCCTACTACATACCTAGGTTTATACCTGTGGTACAGCCTATTGCTCCTAGGCTACAAACCGTTATAGCATGTGATTCTACTGAATGCTAAAGGCAATGGTAACAATTTGCTAAGTATTTGTGTATCTAAATACATCTGAATAAAGGGTACAGAAAAACATAGTATTACAATCTTATGGGCCACTGTTTTATATGTGGCCCATCATTGACCAAAATGTCATTATACGGCACATAACTGTATATATATCTCAAGTGGCAATTTAGCTCATCAATTTTCCTATATATCATAGTAAAGTAAAACTTACAACCAGAAATATTGTGGAGCTTCCAATGTAAAAATATGACTGTCTAATAGATTAAGACTTATTCTCTCATGATTACGCCTCAAAATACCTATACCTAAATATTTTGTTAAAAAGATGATAACTTAACCTTAAAATAGATTCTGACTGGTAATCTATTGCTAGAATCTAGTAAGTATTTTTACTATCTGTAGGGAGAATAACAAATAATTAATAAAAATTATTTGTGGCAGGCATGTACTTTACATCATAAAGCAAAGCAGCCTCATTGGCCTGAAAGATGGTGGAATAAAACAATGAAAATACAAATGAAAATACAAATTTATCCCTGTGATACACAAATTTTTTTTTTTTTTTTTTTTGAGTTGGAGTCTCATTCCGTCGCCCAAACTGGAGTGCAGTGGCTGCTCCCGGCCACCGCAGCCTCGACCTGCTGGGCTCCAGCGATCCTTCCGCCTCTGCCTTCCAAGTAGCCAGAATTACAGGCATGCGCTACCACGCCCGGATGATTTTTTGATTTATTGTAGAGATGAGGTCTCGCCGCCCAGGTAGTTCTCGAATCCGCGGGCTCAGGCAATCCACTCACCTCAGCCTCCCAAAGGGGCATGATTACAGGCTGAGCCACCGAGACCGGCTAAATATTATTTTTGAAGTGATTAGATGAGTGTCATTTTGCCTCTCCCTTGCTAAATTTCTACATCTCTCAGAAACAACAGGATAGATGTAGAGAGAAAGTTGAAGCAGCATACTGAATTGTTAGGAATGAAATTCCCACAACTTTAGATATAATGGTAGAGGCCATAAGAGCCCTAGTAGAAATGCCTGCTAGGAGTAGCAAATTTTCATATTCAGTCGATTCAAATCACTGGAAACCCAGTTAGCACAGGTAGGAGAAGGTCACACCTGAGTCCGGAAATATTATACCCAGTAAAAATGGCTAGACATTGAAAACTGAATCAGATATTATGCAAATGGGTCTACCCTCCAGATCTGAGAAGGAGATTCAAATAGCTACCAAGCTAAATATGAACGTTCATGAAGAGTAAGGAAAAAACAAAATATGTGGTGTTTTAAGGGGAAAAAAAGATCGATACAAAGATTTCAAAAAAAGAACAAAGACAATAAAATAACAAACTTGTAGAAATATAAAAAGGAGAGCATCACCCACACATTTCACAGTAATTTGAACAGTGAGAATTACAGTTACCTGGAAAATATTATAGAAACCTATTTTTATAAGTTTTGTTGCACTCAGTAAGCATAAGTTCCAAGAAACAGGAGTGGAAAGTCACTAAGACAGACCAGGACACGATGAAGGACAACAGGATGAGATATAAAGAAAATAAGCCTGAATGAAAAGAAACCAAGATATGATAAGGAATCATTTCAATGTGATGCAACCTAATAATTATAGGTACCACTGAAGAAGAGATTAAACAATCTTAGAAGATGCAATAATCAAAGTCATACTTTAATTTGTTGATGTTGATTAAAGACTCGAGTTAAAAAGTGCTGTTTGATTACAAGTCAAACTGTATGAAAAAGACCACTATTTAGACATAACATGGAAAATGGAAATATATGCTTAAACAAAACATAATGCATGAGCATCCACTTAGCAGATACAGATTGAGTAAAAAGGAATGAAATCAGTCTGACTTCAGTCTTATTCTTTGTAGTACTCATATCAGGGGAAAAGTTGGACTAAAAACATTAAAGTTCTGAAAGGACAGATTGTGGAATTAAAGGTTTCACCCAACAAAGATAACATTTAAAAAAAATACAGGGGCCCACAAAATGTGCTACTCGCATATTCTTAAAAAATAAATTGAAAAGTAGATGAAATTAATAGGTTGGCAATAAAATTCCATATATCAAGAAGAGAAAAACATTATCCTTATTTTAAAAAATTTAGTATTGAAGGCTGGGTGCCATGGCTCATGCCTGTAAACTCAGTACTTTAGGTGACTGAGGTAGGAGGATTGTTTGAGGCTAGGAGTTCGAGAACAGTCAGGGCAACATAATGAGACCTCATCGCTACAAAAAACTAAAAACTTAGCTGGACAGAGTGGCACATACTTGTAGTCCTAGCTACTTGGGAGGAGACTGAGGTGGGAGGATTGTTTGAACCCTGAAGTTTGAGGCTGAGGTGAGCCACGATTGCACCATTATACTCCAGCAAGACCCTGTCTCTTTGAAAAAAATGATATTGAGCATAGATAATATTTAAAAAAAAATTACAAAGTAAAAGTTCATAAGGAAAAGAGATAACAGAAAGAAAACAAACAAAAACCCAGTATGGTGACAGGTATGTATTTTTAAAAGAAGCTTACGCAAGATAATATAAATAAAATTATCAGGTATGACAATACATATAAATGGGTCACACATAATTTATAGTGTTGTCCATATTTCCTAATTTTCCTTTGACACTTTTAATACTTTATATGCTGTATATGAGGCGATTTCCTTAGATTTATTATACATATTTATTTTGCTCATTAGTTGTTTACACTGTTTATTTCAGTCACGATAATTTCCATCTCTGAAAGTCTTTTGCTGCATATAATCTTTGTTTTTTTCAAACTGCTTTGTTTTTTCATTAGGCTTTGTATAGTTGGCCCTTGAACAATTTGTGGTTAAGAGTACCGACCTCTGAGCAGCCAGAATCTACCATTAATTTTGACTCTTTCAAAACTTAACTACTAATATCTTACTGTTAACTGGAAGCTTCACTAATAACATAAACAGTTGATTAATACATATTTTGTATGTTAAATGTATTATGTGCTATATTCATTAAATACAGTATGCTAGAGAAAAGAAAATCTTATTAAGAAAAGCAAGACAGGCACAGTAATAGCTCATGCCTGTAATCCCAGCACTTTGGGAGGCTGAGGCAGTAAAATCACTTGAGACCAGGAATTTGAGATGAGCCAGGGCAACAAAGTGAGACTCCATCTCTATAAAAAATAAAAAAGTT